AGAATATCCGCGATGTCCCTGAGCGCGGCTCTTGAACTTAGAGGAGCGCATCCTTCGCTCGCCGGAAGATATTGTTACAATCGCCCTCGAACAGCGTCGCGTTGCTTGCCGAACGGGGGTCGCGACGCGAGGGGGCCGCGGGGGCTGCCGTTTATCGTCGACCAGAGTATATTGAGTAGCGTGCGACCGCGCGAAGAAAGTGAGTCCCGTTGCTGCGACCAGCGAAATTCCACGCCGCTCATCGAGGCCCCTCATCGAACACGGAGTGACAACACGGGGTACAACGCACCGTCCTCCTCCATCCTCCTCGCTCTCTCGAAATTTTTCCTCCCGAGATCGGTGGCTGAGACCGAGCGCGCGTATTGTTCCCGCGCAGTGTGACGTGGACTAGTAACATTTGGACAATTCTATGGAAGAGTTTCGTTTGTGGGAAAGAATATGTAATATAATCGAATGGCAGTGAGTTTAATTTTATCGAGGAAGGAGGAGGAAGAGGAAGAAGGTTATTCGTAAGGTTTCAAGAATCTCTTTATCCGTTCGATTTCCATTGGAACGAAGACTAAGAGGTGGACTGAGAAGAGGAGGAGAAGGAGGAGGAGGAGGAGGAGGAGGAGGAAGCGCGATGGCGATGCACGCCGCGGCTCGCGTGTACGCGCGCGCCGGCCCGCGCGTTGACAAACTAATCCCCGCGTTATATCGGGTGATCGTGAAGCACGCGGTGACAAGCCGGCGGTATTTTCGTGGACGAATTTTCGGGACGCGCCAATTCTTTTCCGACTCGAGAGCCGAGCTCGAGGAAAATGTGAGCAAATTTCGAGAAGTTTCGAGTCTATAATCTTCGCGCCGTTCAATTTCGAATGGGTAGAAAAATATTCGAGGAACGAACGAATCGATCTCCGGTACAACTATCGCGCTTCGTACGAGTTTTCGTTGATTTCGAACGAAACTCGATCGCGTTTCTCGCTCGCTTGCTGACCGAAGAGAAAAAAGGGGGAAAAAAAGCACGAGGAGTCGAGGAGAGAGATCAATGATCACGCGTCAAGGGGAATCGATAGAGAAGGCAACAGCAACAAGTACGAGGCGTTGGTGGCACGAATCGAGTTACCAGTTGTTTTCGTTTCCGCGTCAACAGCGACTATCATCCACCAACGATGATTAACTCGTGTAACCGGCGAGCGAACGCCGCGCAAAATTAAAGTTGCATTATCCGAGGAAACCGGCGCCGGTTAACTCGACTGTCACGAAGTGTGCTTAACACGGTAAACGCGGATTAACGCGTTCGCCCGAAGCTATGCGTCTTCCGCTTCGACAACATCTCCTTCGATTTTTCCTTCCATCCGGCCTCTAACGACCTCTGATGCGCTAATAATTCAATCGAGTTGAAAGATTACGTGAATTTTCGTGAACACGCGAGTGGATAGATTCGAGGATATTTATATAAGCATAAGTTTCTTTCATTCGTTCGGGAGAGAATTATCCTTTCGATCGTTTTAATCCCATAAACGAAAAGGGAATGATCGAATTGGAATGATGAAAGGAGAGGACACCGTGTAATCAAAATTGCTCGCGCGTCGTCGAGATTCCCGAAAACCACGAATTCCGTCGTAGTAAGCAAAAGTCGCCGAGAAACTATTAGGTTGGGAAACTTCGTATAAACCGCACGTAAGAAGTTGGAATAAATTCTACTGTTCTACCGAAACTTGGAGAGGGAATAATCGCTTCTGAAACGCTTCTTTCTCTTTTTTTTTTTTTTTTTGAAAAATCTCCGATTGAGAGGCTGGGCTGACGCGTTCGTGCCGTACGAAATTGCCGTCGATTCCGAAGAAGAAACGCGAGGGGGAACGCGAGCTCGAATTCGTTTCGATTCCTTTCGCCGTTAAATAGTTGGATGACGATGTCGTGAGAAGAAAGTTCGTATTCTTCTTCGTAACAAGGAGGGGTATCGTTCGAAGGAAAATACGATGATAAATAAATGGCTCGAAGGCGAAGAGAACGAAAAAAGCGACATTTTCGTCGATTTGGCGGCGAAGAGGATCGAGGAGAGAGAAAGAGAGAGAGAGAGAGAGAGAGAGAAAAGGAGAGCGC